GAAGGGTAGGCTCTTGAAATAATGTAATTTTTGTTTTTGAAAGGTCAGGAAAGATATTTTTGTAGAGACAAGGAAAACTGTAAGCAGCAGTGAGCACAGTTGGTCGTGATAGGAATGGTGTATGTGCCAGTTCATGAAATCCCCTACATACAGGGGCTGGAGAAGTGACTTCCATAATGTACTCTAGTTAGCTGATTTGCCTGCATCTGCCTTTGGTTCATCACTTCATCATGAAGAATATAAGTCCCTGATTTGGGGCTGTCTTCAACTTTGTTTTTTTACTGATTGTTCTGTTTATGTTCTATAATCTAGATAGCTGAGCAGTGACTGTAAGGAATGTTTATATTCAGTCTCTCTCATGTTTTGTTTTGGTGTCGTGTCCCTGTCCCCCCCCCCCCCCCCGGAATTGGCTTAAATTCTGGTGTAGGTTTGGTAGGGTTTTTTGGTTTTGCTACCTCCCCTTCCTCCCTGTAAGAGGGTGACACTGGATTTATAAATGTTATATGTAACATTTATACATATGTATACATGTACATATGTATAAATACACTTTCTTATATTACAGAAAATTGATAGTAACTGTTTTTTAGATTGGAGGAGAGTGCTTCAAAAATAACAGTGTTTATAAAATTACCTGGTTTGTTCCAAGTTCTGCAGAAATGTATTTATATTTTGGAAAGCTGTGCAATGTCATCATCTTCTCCAGCACCTCTACTAATTGCCATCGTCCAAGTTTGCCCGCAGAGTGTGAGGCAGTTTCACATGGTCAAGGTCAGCCCCTGGTGAGTAATTATAAGGAAAGGTGGTGTACCAAAGGCAGCCCTCGGGTGAGCTAGTCTCATCTTTTATTCAGTCAATGTATTGCCGTATGTTGAACTAGATAGAGCTGCTTTATAGTCTTCTGTGATGTTTCCTGTTTTGGTACAAGAGTTTCAGCAATGACAGGAAATATTACTTTTACAATTAAGCCCACTTGTAAAAGCAAGCCCACTCTGTGCTCCCCAGCAGAAACTACTGGAGAACAAGACTTGAGTTTGTCTAGCCTGTGCATGAGGTGAGAGATGTGTGAGACCCTCCTGTTTCACACAGTCGAAAAATGGACACTTACCAAGAGTGGAGAGACTGTACCTTGCTGATAATAGCTTAAGTATTACTAAATGTTGAGAATTTGCGCAAACATCAGAGCTCTCTCTTTGTGTTTGAAACTATTGACTATTGAAGCCTGCTTGACAATAGATTCAGTATTTTCAGGAGTGTTTCACTAATTTTCAGTACAGTTTGTAGGCCCTTTGGTGTATTGTGTGTGCATTATCATATGGAACGCTGGACACTTTCATTATCTGGCCCTGTAAGTTGCTGATTTTGATCTATTTTTAAAGATTCTTTCCTTCTCATTGGAACCAGAGGCCAAAACTGCAGAGGTATCAAGTCTGTGTTTCCAATTCAAGCACAGCAGAACAGTTGTTGTGATGTTCAAAACATCATGAATGGTAGATTGCAAAGCAGGCTGTCTGGATTGTTTTAGAGAGAAAACTGGGGAAGGATCTCAAAACTGGGTAGCCTGAAGTGCTTGTGCGAGTCTGTAAGCTCACTTCCACGTCCTTTCTTAAACAGCTTTCTTCCTCTTAACAGTCATCGGTTTTGTGCCAGAGCAATGCTGTAGGTTGGACAATGTCATTCATGGCCCTACTCTATTTATAGGGTATTTCAGCAACCCCTCCTGTAGCTCCTGTTTCCTGATTTAAAAGAACTTTCATGGTACGTCGTCTCCTCTCATTTTCCACTGGCAGAAAAAGGGAGGAGTTGAGTTTCTCCTTGAAATGCAACAGAGCATTTCTGCCTCTCTTTAAAGGCCATGGCTCTTGTCCCTCCGATTTAAGAGACGAGTCTGGCAAGGGGAGGGCTGTGGGTGAGGCACCCGTTGCAAGTGGTCACTTCTGCTTGGCTGCTTCTTTCACCTTGGCTTCGGAGACAAGGGGAGATGGCTAGTGAAGACTAGTAGGAGATGAGGAAAAAAATGGGTCTAGAAGGCACAACCCAGTGGGAAATTGAGTTAGAAGTGAGGATGAGGATGGAAATGAACTGTGCAGATGCAGCACCTTGCCTTGGCTGAGCCCTGACAGCAATCACCTGTCTGGAAGTGCTGGTAGTTCTGCTGCGCAGAGGTGGCCTGATACAGCTCACATCAAAGTCGAGGCTTAAAATTTAGAGTTGAAAAGGTTTTTTTTTTATATAGGCCAGACGTAACTTCAAGAAACTGCAACACAGAGGTCCCTGACATGAGAAATATTGCATTAGAATAACACTCTTCATTTCATAATTTTAAATTATCATCCTTGTTAGTCCTTCCTCTGTGTTTTCCCCCCTTTGCTTTCCCATTTCCCTTTCTCCTTCCCAACAACCCAGACATAGTTTTGATGTTATCTTTTTCTGTCATGCTGTTTGTGTGGTACAGTGTTTATTTTTCAAAGCCAAAGGAGGATTTAATAACATTCAGCTGATCACAGAACAGCTTTGCTTTAAAAGCTCATTAGCTAGGGCTTGCCTCCTGGTTGTTGCTTTCAGTGACATGCTTGTCACAGTGACAGAAAATCATATGTATCCTTGTGTGTATTTATTGTGTCTCAGTAACTCTCCTGGTGAGAGGCTATGCTGATAAAGGGCTTGAAGTAAAGCTTTGCCAGTGGATGCTCATTTTCTAGTTGTGCGTTGTTGGTTTTTTTTTTTTTTTAATAAATGGAAGGAGTGATTGTGAACTGAGCAGGCTGTCAGTGCCTGGGCCTTGGACATTGAAAGTTTGACATAATTGTCAGTATTGGCCAAAACCAGCAGGAAGGCGCAGGTTCCAGACATGCCATGAGCTCTTACTAGTTGTGTGAAAATTGGTATCTGGAGAGAGGATGGAGTGCCCCTATGGGGGAGAAGTTGATTTATCTTACAAGATGCTACACGAGGACAGGCTAGCTGGTAGGTTAGTGTGTGCCTGGCTCTGGATCACTGCTCTGTGCCTGCTGAACATCCTCATCAGGCAAGCTGAGAACAATGGGAGGGACTGCGGGTCCTGTGAAAGGGAGATGTAAGCTGGAGCTCTAGTGGCTGTGGTAGGGATGACAACTGGTGTGGTGTGTTTTGCTGCTCACAAAACATCTTTTTCTTAAAAAATACACTTGTGGAGTAAAGCTATGAACAGTGTTATTTGCTCAGTTATTCAGAAATTCATCCAGGCCTGCTTTAGAATAATGAGATTAGGCTGAAATTTGTGGAGTTAAAAATAGTAGAAATTGGGTTCTTTCAAGTTGCTCTTTTTTAAATTCCTTTTTTCAGATGCCCCAAGTCATGTTATTTAAGTTTACTCTGCAAGCACAAAGCATAGAAACTTACTGAAATTTCTAATCTAATTAGGCATCTTTGGGAGCTGGGGTTTTAAGCAGAACACCAAAGATGGAAAAACTTGTGATAAAACCACAGGAGAGCATGTTCGGCAAGAAAATAAAAATAACGGGGTGGAAATGAGCATGCTGTGTGCATGTAGCTGTGGAGGCAGGTAGGGCTCTCTTCTCTGGTGGCTGTGCAGGCTGGATTCTGCCAGCAGCTTTGTTGTTCTTCAGATTCATGTCTCTTCAACTCCTCTCCCTCTCTGCTGCCTTAGCAGTTATTGTCACCTGTAGTTAATCTGCAGACCTCTGTTTTGTGAGGATTGAGGGATTAGAGTAAGAGCGAGTCTACAGGAGGTACCTGTGATACTGTGGGCTCTGGTGAGCCCTCTTGCATTCAGCTGGGCTTTCATAAAGCAGTAGGCATGTGTGATGGGGCTGTCAGATATGAACCTGGCATGTGGAGTACACACTGCTTACAGTACAGAGCGGCAGATCACATTGCCTCTATGTGATTGAATGGGCCTGTTTCACCATCTTTGTCTTTCCCACCTTGGTATAGCAAAGTCATGTTTAAAGTTGCCCAGGTTACCTTAGGATACCCGAGAACCTGAGGCACAAGTCCTACTAATCTCATTGTAGCCAGAATTTGTTCTAATAGGCAGTTTTCATCAGAAGTTCTGAGTGTTGGAAGGAGTATAAAACTGCAATGAGTGATGCTCTAGAATTAAAAAAAAAAGGAAAAAAAAGCCCAGTTAGTTGGCTTCAGATAACAGTAAATAGGTTGTACATTCTTTCCTGATAAAACTTCCACAGAACTTTAATGACCCCCATGCTGCTCAGCAGTCACTCGTGCATCAGCATCCCTCCCTCATTTGTCTTACAGCATCACAAAATGGATTAAGTTGAGCTTGGAAAAAAGCGTACTTACTCCAAAACAGAAATGCTCACACGTGATGTTTTTTTCAGGACTAGCTATTAAAATGTAAATACAGACCATAGATCAGTCCAAATTGATCCTCAAAGGTAGGTAAGTTCTCAGTCTATTTTAGTCTGTTTTTATCATTATCTTGTGTATGTACCCCAGCATATTAATTCTTAAAAATTTAAATGTTTTAGTAGCATTTAATACCTGAATTATGAATAATTGTTTTGTGTGGTTTTTTTCTTAAATAAAAATGTCTTTTTGCTCTATTTAGGTCTAAACGTGATTAAGCCTGCACTATGTGCTGTACTCATCAAGTGTTCTTTAAATAAAAGCATTTCCTCATCTGGATAAAAACAAAATAAAGCTCAGCTTGCTACAGAAGCTCTGGCCTTATGGCCTTGATTTTTGCAAGGCTCTGAGTGTCCTGACGTGTGCTGTGTACTTAAAAAACCAGAGTTTAGGACTTTGTGAGGAACAGCTTTAGTTCAGTGGAAAAAAATGCCTGCTAGTGGTCTGAGTTTCCTTATTCTCATTCTTAATGATGTCCTTTATAGTGTTCAGTAGAGTCATAGGTTTAAGAAAGCAGCCTTTGTGGAGTTAGTGACATGTTACTTCTACCTACACATGCTGGGTCCTGTGGGAGTTGAGTCAGCACTTTTATAATGGTTTTAAGACAACTGTTTCTTTTCTTCCTTTAGGCTCATAGCTGGCAGCCTGGAATCAAGAACCCATACCGTGGGGTGGTGGTATGGCCAGTTCCTGAAAATGTTGAAATTACTGTGACGCTCTTTAAGGTATGTTTTTTAAAGCATAATCTTTCCTATTTCATAAACAGCATATGAAAAATTCTGTTTGGAAACATCAGATTATAATCACAAAGGCCTAATCTTGCTGGGTTTAAGTTGTTAACTGCACAACCTTATGTCCCCAGTTTAAATCCCAGAGAGAAGGATGGTCTGTTCCCTGCCAAAGCTTACTTTTGTAGTTTAGTTAACACAACGAAATATCCCATTCAGCTGATTATGGCGAGTCGTTGGCATAGAATTTAGTACGTGTGTAACTGTGCACGTAGTATATGTGTAAGGGCTTGGCGTGGGTTATAGGCTGGTTGGTTTTCTTTAAATACTGTAAGCCAGAAGTTGTCAAAACACAGCCATTTCTAGACTTCCTTGTTCAGTTGCAGTGCAGTGACCCTATTTCTTATGCTATTGACTAGGAAACAGAATCCAGCTCTTAATTTCACAGTATTTAGTATGCCACACAAACATCACAGTACTTACGTGATTGCAATTGTAGGAGTGGATGTGGAGTACTGGAATAGTACAGAGAACTGCATTTGTTCTATTAAAAAAAGAAGCTTATTTGTGTGGCTGCGAAGCAGGAGAAGAAATTGATGGTTATGCTAGAACTTATTTCTGAAATATCACTGGGGAAAGTCCTTTCTGCATAAAGATAAACAATGCAGCTTTGCATGTGTGATAGTTTAGGAGGCTGACTGGGAGGTTGGTGATTTCTGGGATTTTCATTCCATTAGTTCTTTCTTTTTCTTTACTCTGGTGTCTCCAGCTACACTCTGGTTGTTCTTATATATAATTGTTCCCTTTACAGCTTAGGGCAACAGTAACATATTTTTTTCTAATTAGTAATATTTGTATTTCTTTGTCTTGGGGACTTCCCTGAATAACTGCTTAGAAGTAGCTTCTGGTTAGCCTTAGAATGTGAATTTATTACTTGGTTCATTAAGCCTAAAAAGGGGGTGTTTCTCTCTTTTTTTTTTTTCCCCCCCTCCCCCCTTGGGATCACCAATGAACAGAAAGTTCCCAGGTTGCCAGTGATGCTAACTATCATAAATTTTTCTCTTCTTAGCAGACACATAGTCTTCAACTGAGGTTCAAAAGTTCACTAGCAAAAATTGTTTGCCTTTGCATGCTTCAAGGGCCTCTGCTTGGATTAAGAAGTTTAACACCATTATGTGACTATGCTGCGCATCTGTAATCTGAATATGGTTATGTAACACAGTAAATGTTACTTAATATTTTTAACATTCAAAGTGAAGCAGAAATGTACACAATTCTTGATTGTCTATGTGATAACATGTTAGGTGAAGAATGAGAAATTAAGTTTCTTTCGGGTGCAGCTCTGTGATGCTGTGGCTTTAGAGTAAAAGTGTCTCCCAGCCTTCTCCTGCCATCCCACACTACCTTTTTATTTCTACCTGCACCGCTTCAGGGATATATTTTGTAGTACAGCACAACAAACTTGTAGTTGTGCCACTGAAAGTGAGTGTGAGGGCTAGGACCAGATAGTGAGAGGAGAGAAGGGCCTCTGGAGCTGGTGTTAGGTATTACTACAGCCTTAATTTTACCCAGCACTGTGACTCTGCAGATGTTCACTGGACTGCCTCCTCCTCTCCCCAAAAATGAGCCTGCCCGTCACAAGGATTGTTCTGGGAGGAGAGGAAGGAGCGTGAATAATGCCAGAGGCTGTGCCTTCTGGGAACGGTACACACTGATCTCTGGGGGAACGAGCACAGGCTTTTATAATCAAAATATTGAGATCACGCAAAAAGCATCATATTGTCAGGCAGCTTTTATGTAAATCTGTTCTAACTGATCCTCTGGCTCCTCTAACAAATGGCCAAAACCCACCTTTTTCTCTATAAGGATATGCAGGTGTGGTACAGAGCAGCGCTTTTTGAGCAAGTTGGGTGATGCCCCAGGAGCACTGTATCTGTGCGAGACCATCTGTGTCTGCCTGGATGAATGAGCTGAGAGTGATATACGATAGCAGGCAGAATACGGTGTTAGCACAGTTTACGCTGTGCCCAGTCCTCTGATAGCTCTGTTGGCTCAGTGCTACAGCGGCACTTCAGCTGTAGCGTGGGATATGTCCTAACACCCGGAGAGCTGGCATTTCTGTACCTGGTACGTTCTGGGCAAGGATGGTCAAAAAGAACTAGCTATTTTTTGCACAGCTGATGCATTGACTGGTCAGCGCTAGAGTAGTGGGAAAGGAAGTATGTAATAGTGCACTGCAGCAGCCTTTTGGGAGCTGACTTACAAGTCAGGTATTTGTATCCTTCCTTCCTCTGGAAGGAGGGAGGTGAAAACGATGAAAGCAGTAAAGCTCAGAAAAAGAGACTGCTCATCTTGCAGTTTTGTAAAAGTCCCTTTAGGAGCCACTCCCCTGCGAAGGAGAGTGACTGCTGAACATTTGACACTTTGCAGTAAGTACACTTAGCGTGGCCGTGTTGTTAAACAAACAGTAGTTGTCCTCTTTCATTACAACCAGAGAAGTTAAGGGAAGCTGCTGACTCCATGTCCACACTGGCAGAGCCCACTGATGGGAGCAGGTTGCTCCAAAAGAGCTTTGTAGCAATCACAGATAACAAATTAGTGCAGTGGTGCTGTTTGAAATAGAAGTGCAGGGAAGGGAAAAAGCGGACTCCAGAATAGATAGCTACGTGTTTTGGGAAATGACTCACACAGTAGTGGTTGTGCATTCCTAAGTGGCTGTTGAAATGTGTTGCTGGTAGGATTAGGAGATAAGTCAAGGTTTCAAGTGCTGATGAGAATGTTAAGAATATCCTCTCCAGTAGTCACCCGTGGACACTTGAGAGCTGGCTAGCAAAGTGCCTGTGATCAGTCAACAGACGAGATATTTTGCATTATCTGCAAATCCCTATTTTGGGTGTTAGCTTGTTTCCAACAATATATTTGTAATTCTTAGGCAAGCAGAGCTTAAGTATTGAAGAGACTACAACCTTCGTTTAGAAAACTTTCATTTCAAATAAATAAAAACTTTGTTTCATTTCACTTAATTCTGGGCTGCTGGTAAAATTTCATAATGCTCTGGAGTCATGTGGGGAACAGTATCAAATGGATATATTGATTCAGTTTCCCTTGACTAGCTCTACCTCCTGCCCATCCAGCCGGCTGAAGTGCTAATTACATAAAAACTTCCATCTGTTCTGAAAGTTTAACTTCTTCCTTTGCCATGCTCTACATTCATGTTTGGTTATGCCTTGGGTTTTTCAACCAAAATGGGGAGGAAGAAACTTTGTGAAACAATAAGCCTATTATGCATTTTAAGTCCATGATTTGTAGTGCTTTCATGGAAAGATCCATAAATGCCAGAAAAGCTAGCTGAATTCCCATTTTTTATTGTTTCCATGGTTGCACTCCAGAAGTTCACCTTTAGAGTCCCTGCATTAGCAAGGTTTAACCATCATATATGAAAGCTTGTATACTTTTCCGTGGTTTTATGTACAAACACATACCTGTATCAACTGAGAGAGATTTTAAACGAGAAATTTTCACTGCCAAGCAAGCCCAGTGCTTTTAGCAAAGCTAAGTGAACATCAGTTGTACTACGAGGATTTAAATTGCAACATCATTATTTTCTAGCTTAAAAGCAAAGTGAACTTCCCAAGCAAGAATGTTTGTTCTTCTGGAGTAAGCATGGACTTTGCTTCATCGGATTAAAAAAAACCACTTGTTTTTCAGTGATATACATGGTTTATCACACCAATGTACTATTGCAGTAACAGGGAAGATTATCAGCTCTTCATTCCAGAGTTTGAAAAAGACATTTTTAAAGGCATAGCTTTCTAAGCACGCAAAAAATTATTTATGAGTGAAGTAAGAATAAAATAGATGATAAAAGGAGACTTGTGTTGTTGAAAGTATTCCTGTCCCCACATATCTCTCAGAATAAATCCCATATCATCTTTCTTGAAAGCCCATGTCAATCATGTGCTTTGATTATAGTGCAGTAACCAGCCGTGCACTAGCAGGAACACTGCAGCAGAGCCAATACATTGTCTCAGGGAAGGAAAAAAAAAAAACAAACCCCAAACCAAAACCCTTTGATAAAGCCACTTCCCAGAAGCAAAGAACAAATCCAGGTTCAGAACATACTTGTTTCAGTTTAGGAGAGACCAGTGGCTTGACCGGACACTATGGAGAATATTCCATAGGAGGGAAAAACAGCCCTGTAGACAAGACAAGATGTTGTGTGTCAGATATAAAAATCATAAGCTCAGGGAAGGGAGCACACTTGCACACTAAAAAATTAAATATCCAGGGTTAGTGTGGGGACTAATTGTAAAAAAAAATACATTAAAAAAAGTTAATCCTTGTTGGCTTTCCAGCCCAGAGGCTTTACAGGAAAGTGTGAGCTGTCATGAGCTTGGTGTGGTGATGTACAGGGACAGTTCTGCCGGTCTGCTCAGAGCTCCCCGTTTTCTGGAAGCTCAACAAAAACTGACCAGAGTTGTATGTGATTTTCTAGACTAATCAGACCTCTGTAAGCAGCATTGAAAGCAACAAGAATTGGGTCAAATTTTGAGTCTTCTGCAGCTTCAAACAGCCAAGTACAAAAGCTGAAGACAGATGCTGGAGTACCCGGAGCATCTGCTATAGGTCACTGGTAGAGGAAGATCACAAACCCTGTCATCATTTGATCTGATTCAATATGACAGTCCTTAAGTAGTTATTCTCCAAGAAGAAAGACCGAAGATTAAGGCTGGTATGAAGGGATCTAATTGAAAGGCAAGCTTCAAAAGCCAGGAAAGCTTAGGGGGGAGGCATGGGGAAGGAAGGGAGGAAGGGACTAACAGTCTGAAGATCTTCCCCACCCACTCTGGCTGCTGATTATGAGAAGGAGCAGTCCCTTGTTTGCTGATATGTCTTTCATTCCTATTACAAGAGATACAGAAATGACTCTGAAGATAACCTAAACTATTGGAGAAGGGTTACCTTTCTTCAGTATTCTGAAACCACCTTATACACTGCAGAAAGGATCTAGTTCTTGACAAAGTTCCTTGCAGAATGGGCTGATGATGGACTGATCAACAGAGAACAGAAAAATGTGACAGACACATTCCTTGTTGTTCTTCCCTTGCCTGAGCCCAGAAGAGTTGTCTGTTTTCAGGTAGTTGGCACATGGATGGGCAGAATGGGGTCACAAAGAAGCTGATGGGTGAGATTGCAGAGAAAAGTTTGTAGGACTGAGCTTATTGAGGGCCAGCATATCTCTAGAAAAGTAGTTAACACAGTTACTAGGAAAATGTGAGATGAGCCAGGTTTTTGCTGGTGGATCAAAACGCTCTACTGATCTTAAGAGTTGGAGAAATGATTATCTGAGAGTCTCACTGTAGGAGAACCATAAGATGATATCCTGTCCTTTGCACAGTTCCTTACTATTGGCTTCTCACCTGAGTGTTACTTTTGAACACTAAAGTCATCTTACCAGAAAAAAAAAAGAAAGAAAAGCAAAAGGGTGGGGGAAAAAAAGAAGGCTCTAAAACTTGGTTGAAGATACTGCAAAGGAGTGTCATACTGAGAGGCAAATGCATATGGAAAGAGAAACAGGAAAATGGGGCCTATCTCTTGATACTAAGAATGATGATTCTTTTCTACACAATAAAATGAGGAGGAACAACAAGCCATTCAATCCATTTGCCCAAATACTCACAGTTTTCAATTTGAGGTAAAACCATAATAAATGTTGGATAGAGTGTAGTTCTGCATCTGTGGTATGTTGGTAAAGAAAATGAGCATTTAAAAAAAAAAAGTCTTGCCAACTCCATGTTACAGCCAGGTATGAGGCAGTTTCAGGCTGAGAAAAGTACTGGAGACAGTTTGTTCCTTGAGCTTTTTAGGTAATTTTCATTATTTGCTTTCAGGAAGGAGGATGGGAATGAGATCTGTTTATAACTCTTGTCTTTAGGTGTTTCCAGCTGTGCATTTTCAGTGATTACTTGTGTCTGCTTGCAGGTGAGGTGAGGTTTTGTGTGCTGTGTTATCAGGGAGGGCTTTCATACAGTGAAATTTCAAAGGCTGCTATAGCCATTACTCCTAGGGTTATTCTTCCTAAAGAGCAGTCAGCTGTATAGTTCTCAAACAATAGTTTGCTAAATTCATCACATGAGTTTTATGTGGGAAATGAATGAAAAATATGGGTTAGCCAATGAGGGAAGTATGTGGTGTTATATTTTTTTTTTTACTGGTATTTACCCTCTTCAAATCCAAAATAAGGTGAAAGATTAGCCAGATTTAGAGAAACATCACTTTTTATGGAGACCACATATTGAAATGTTAGCCCAAAGGATGAAATGGTGGTTGCAATAGAAACTGTGTTGTAACTATAATTATACAAGTATCAGTTAATGTTGACTATGTAATAAAGTTGTCAGTTAGCTAGAAATAGGACTCTGCATGCTGCTCCCTGGGCTTCTAATAAAAGCATTTTAGTGAGAAGAGTGAACACACTTATGTGTGTCTTGCAAGGAAATGCTGAGGCTGAGGTGTGTAAGCTTATTCAGGGTTTTCTGTTTCTAGAGGCATTTTAAGACTAACAAAAATTGTGGCTTTTTAAAAAAAAATCTGGATTTGTCTTTAAATCTGAAATATCTTACACATATGCAAAGTGTCCATATCTTAGCATATTTCAGACTCTCCAAACTTTTGGTAAGGCTGTGCATTAGAGAAGTCCTTGAAGCTTTCAATTTTTATTTTTTTATTCTGGGTGGTTGGTAGGGAGTTTGGGGGTAATACACTCGTGTTTATTTTTCAAAAGTGTTCACAACTCGCGTCCAAGTGCTTGCTAAAATGTTGAATAGTAAGAAGTCTTTTTTTATTATACAGTATTATTTTGCTCTATCAGATTATCAGAAATACTCAGCAGAGCACCTAATTCTGTAACCTTTTGAGGTGTAAATCAGTTTTATTGCCATTGATAATAGAAGAGCTTTGTTTTTCTTTATAGATTATTGCCTTGCATGAACAAAACAATGATTGTTTTGTTTGTTACATGAGATAAAATACTGGGCCCTGACTTTGCAAGCAGTTTTAGGTAAACCTGCAGCCTTGCATTAATAGCTTTTGGGGGAGTTCTGAAAAAAATTGAGCAGGATGAAATATTTAAGAGTTTAGTCATTTATTATGGAGTAGCTTATTAAGACAGGGGGATTAATGATCCCATTAAATCTCATTATGTCATTTTATGCTGTATCAAAGGAAACAACTAAACAAAAAGGTAATTAATTGCCCCAGGTTAACTCTTGAAAATAAGTACTTAATAGCTGGATTGCAGAAAATTGTATCTTTAGAATTTATATAGGATACAGCAAACCAGCAGGTATCGTGCACTTTATTTACATAATGCAGAATTCCACAAACCTGATTAATGTGATGGATATATAATTACATAATCTGATATTTACAAGTACATTAATTGGAACACAGAGATACCTCAGTATAATTTTGTATGTATCTACTTGCACTTCTATCCTTATGGCTAATGGTACAGTATGTTTCACACTCATTTGCAGTATTTAAATTATTCTGATTTTAAAAAAAAATTCTAAAAATATTTATATATCAAAACAAATCATCAGTTTTGACATAAGTTTCTAGTAACATCTTATATTTTTTTCATTGAAACTACATCCCATTGTTGGAGTAATATTGCATATGACGCCTGTGGTTGAAGCTGTTAAATATATAGCTAATGATGGTGCCAGTGGTATGATGTGGTGTTGAATTTCCTCCGGGAGCGTGCCGATGCCCAGCGGGACGACTCCTGCAAGGAGAGCCAGTGTTTTACAGGGGGTCTGCAGAGCAATGAACCGCTTTACTGGATTTTGTAGGAAGGACTGTGCTGGAGGAGATAGGACGATATCCTCTTAGAAATGTTACTGTAGTTCATTCAAAGAGGAGGTTTATTTAAAAGCACACTTTCCAAGTTTTTTGTGTGCTGGAAAAAGAAAAAAAGTAATTCTTTTCGCTGTTTGTTTACGCTGTAAGCTTGTTACTTACAAAATCTTTTATTTTGTGTATTTGATGAGAACTAGTTAAAAGAATCATTTGTAGTACCACGATACAGTACCTCTACTCACTGTGTGTCTGACTTCAAAGCAAAACTAAGTGAAACAAAGATGATTAAAGCAAAGACTTAAGGTGAGTTGAAAAGACTGAATGTGAGGCTTGTAGCATTCTGGAAAGAAAGGGAAGATGGTGCTAACGGAGATAAACAAAGTAGAAGCAAAATATCTTGATCCACTTTGTTAATTTACGGCAGCAAGATTGAATTGGTGCAGTGTTTGGTGTAGTATCATAAGCAGGCTCCAAATAATAGCAAGAAAACTCTGCAGGTGCTGAGTGGTCTCATATGATGATGGCAAATGCTGGTTATGGGAAAGTAACATTTATCAACAAGTGTCTATAGCATGCAAGTGTCAGAGGCAAAGGAGTAATTGAGTGGTTTCCTATAACTGGAAATAATACAAAACTGAGGTATAGCAAAATTAGGCTTCATGTCTGAAGAAAGCCTAAAGCCACATTCTCTTAATGTGAGAAGCTGTTTTGCAAGAGGAGTACAAGTTATTTTGTTACAGTTGTTCAGAACTAGGATTGGATGATAAATTAATGATATTTTTTGAAAGTTTTTTTTTAAAGTAGGATCCTTGATAGAGGCATGAAGGGGATGACTTAATGTCTCCACCATTATCTTAATTTCAGACAACAACAATATAGACCATACCACCAGATTGAAAGCTCATTAAATTGGAAATAAATGCCAAATATACAAACCTTGTTGTTATTTGTCTTCCTCTTGGTGAAAATGTTTTCTGGTCCTCATGTGCGATGCAATAGAAATGTTGTGAAGTAAGGATACGTATTTAAGAAATTTGCAGTGAAATGAGGTACTGTTCTGAAGCTGTGACTTTGGATCTCTGCTAGTGCTGATGGGGTCTGGTCATGAGGAGGTTGGGGTGATGCGCAGCTGCTGTAGGTGTATGCCTTCTCACGCCAAGTGGGAGCAGTGGCTTCCTCCAGTGTTCTCTGCAAGGTGTAGATTTGTTGTGTTTATTTGGGAGATGGAACTTAAGAATTGAAGAGAGATGTATCTTCCCACTTTTACAGGCCTTTATCAGAATCAACCTCATGTTTGTATCTGTAGGAGTCTTTATTAAATCCTTGCTGGCAGTTTTACCCTAACTTGCTCATCATCTTATTGACGTCCACTGAAGCCTACGTCCTAGCTAAAGTATTTCCCTCTGTCATCTTCAGTGGGTAAAAATATTTCTATGAGTATATGAAAATCTTGGCTGAGTTACAATTTCTTGCACCCTGGATTATTTTTAGACTTAAGTTCTCTGGTTTGTTTTTCTAGGATCCCCATGCTGAAGAGTTTGAAGACAAAGAATGGACGTTTGTCATAGAGAATGTAAGCTGGAATGTTATGTTTTTTTAATATGTGTAAGACTTAATCATTTAAAAGATTAAAGGGTGTCCAAATGCTGAAAAAAGCTTGAGTAAAAATTGAGCTGCTGAACCAAAGTAAAGCCTTGCTCCGTAGTAATAAAGGCTTGTTAAAATACCTATTGTTATGTTACAATTAAAATACAGGAGAGGGGAGTACTGTACTACACTGCTTAAATTCCCTCCTTGTAAGCATCAGTCTTCCTTGCATTATTTTGCTATGAGCAATGGAGTAAACAAGTTAGAGCTGGGTTATGACTCATTGTTTTATGGGTTATGACACATTATTTTTCTATGAGCAGGGGAGTGAACAAGTCAGTGCTGGGTTATGACATCTGTACATCCCAAATGGCAGTGCACCCTTCCCGGTTTTGAATGCCACTCTTTAGTGAACAGCACATTTTCATCACTTGCGTTTTATAGGTGGGGAAATTGAGGCAGGGTGGAGAGGTGGGACCAGCCATGGTCACCTAAGTGAAGAGCAAAAGAGTCATGACATGCCCCCTGCTCCCTGAGATCCCAGTCTCGCGCTCTGTGTGGGGGAGCCATCTTGTGCACCCAGTGAAAACCCAAAAGGTGGCTCCTGTGAATCTCTGACTCCTCTGAGTCAGGAGCTCCCAGAACTTCCCAGAGAGCTGAGCTCCTGAGGGCTGTACAAACAACACGCTTTGCCAAACATTGCACAGAGCTTCATGAAGTACTTCTTTCCTTTCCCTTCTCCATGTTGGGCTGCAGCTTCCGCTTTGGGGCTGCCTGGGCTGAAAAATGGGGGAGCTGCTTTACCTGGAGTTTCCTTGAAGAGGAAACTTGTTTTTGAAATACATTTGAAAGGACTGTGGTATCAAGACAGTGTGTTTGTCTCTCATTAATATAGATTATGGACTGTTTCTCAGTAACATGAGTTAATTTTTATTTGTCGTTTCTAAACAAAAAAAATACCGCTCTTTTATGGAGTCGTAGTCGTACCAGGCAGCACTGAAGTATGGGGACGCAATGGAATTCGCATGTTATCTTTTTTTTGCCTAAAAATGCTGCTTTTTCTCTCTTGTTGATATCAGAAGTGATTTGGATGTCCAAAGCTAAGTTTATTCTGATAGCCAGTGACTGAACGTTTAAAAGGGCTGAAAGCAAAGTGCTTAATTTATACTTTTGTTTTTAAATGCCAAGTTTCTATTTTCATTTGAGACTTATGAATACAAAACACAGTTTAGTTACTGTTTCCTGGAGTTTCCTTTTCTTTCTCACTTAGTTTATTTTAATCAGGGAAGTCTCCATCACCAATTGTCACTGTACAAGTAACTGTGAATAAAACAATGTCAGTGTATTTCTCAGCCAACCCCCCTGGGTATAGTTGGATTTCCCATGACGTTGCAGCAGATTTTTTCAGAAATTTATAGTGGGCATGTAGACTTCATGTCCTGCTTTATAACACATTGCTTGTTTTCATGTCATCATATGATATATAGAGGTGGCAGTAGTACATTTGCTGCATGCAGTTCTCGCTCTCTGCCTCAAATCTTCTCTGAGCTGCAGTAATGCTTGCAGGGTAGGAGGTTGCTTTGGTTGCTGTGCCCCAAAACGTGGCCTCTGCTGAAACAGATGGAGACGGTTCCAGTATGTATTGGTGATGGGGTAACCTTTTGTTGTGTGCGAACTTACTCTTTACAACCTCAGTTATGCCATTAGTTTATCCCACAAGAACTGCCAAATAGTCATTGGTAGGTGGATGTTTATCTGTGGATTAGAGGATATATAAATATTATCCTCAGAATAATAAATTTAATAAATAATTTTACTGCAAAAATTATTGAGAGCTAAAGCAACCATAAAACTGGTTGCTTTCAATCGCCTTTTTTTTTTTAAGATGAAACACTACTGAAAGCGGTAGATACTGCCAAAAAAATCTGGTCTGCAAATATACTTGAAGATATGGAGAAACTCTTTTCCAAGAGTAACAGCTCCACTTAGTGGTGGATGAAAATATGTTCATCTGTTCGAGCAAGTAACAAATGATCCAATGGCTGGTTGACATTTCAGAGCACAAAACACCTGCTTGTTAAAAATCTGGGAGCTGGGGAGGAGGCAGGAGGCTGATCTCTTCCCTCCCTAAATTGTTGACATTTACCCCTTTCAGGCTTAACATATGGTTTTCCTGGTTTTAAAGGAACATATTTATCATCGAATCTGACAAGGACAGGTCACCTTTGGGAAGTGTGGAGACATTTTACAGTCCTTTGGGGGCTTTTCCTTTTTGTTCCAAGTATGTTCTCTGCCCACAGAGGCTGTAAGGTTTCCCTTCCTCCTTGGTTGGCAACACTCAGAATGCAAAATACTGAAGCCTGAAAAGTTTATGGATGTTCTTTCATTATAAAGCAATCTGAATTCTGCTAAAAACATTTCTTTTGAGCTTTTTTTTTTATTACTGTTAAAAGTCAATCTCCAAAATAATTTTGTAATGCTTCAGTATGGCTGAGCAAAGTTCAGCTAAAAGAGATAGTCAGCTGAAGTTTGATGCCTCTGCTGGCAGATGCTACCAAATTAAAAACAAGATTATTCTGGACTTTCAGAGGAATTTTTAAGTAGCGGTGAGGCGATTTGTGCAAGATAACCATGCTATAAATGAAAATGAAGCAAGATATTTGTTTTTTTGGTTGATTTTTTTCTAGTTTGGGGTTTGGGGTTTTTTTGTGTTTTTTAATCCTGCAAATACATGTACTTTGTGATCCATCACCTTGGTTATTGTAGGATTTTTTTTCTCTAACTGTATTTTTAATGTCTTAGTCACTCTGTATTTGTATTGTAGTAAGTCAACCTTTGTCATCTACCGTATGTCTAATCCATAAATAATTTGATCATAGCACAGTTTCTTAATATTTAATGTTGATATTCATTTTCCATCAGCCTCTCCCATGTCTTTACCTCCTTCACAGCTGCGTTCTTTGTATATTTACTGCTAACTTTCTTGTCTCTAATTTCATCTTTGTTTAACCACACTCTGTATTTGATTATCTGTTTTTTCTTCACGAGGCAGTTCTTGGAGTTGTCTTGTTTTCTGTGCTCTTCTGAATAATATCGGATGTTCAGATTGGCTGTTGCAAGTTGGAGAGCAAGAAATTCATAGCTAAGAATAAGACTTACCCATCTGTGGAGAGGTAATAGGCTTTCAAAATTTTACAGATTGGCATTAGTTTATTTTGTCTATTCAGTTTAGAGAACAAGGACTAGTTGCCTTCCATTTAAAAATATAAGCCACTTCCTCTAGTAAGTAATTTTTCTCTCTTATTGCTCCTATGGGTAGTTGAACATGTGCTGTTGCCACATTTGGTTCCTTCCACTGTCTGAGCTCCAACTTCTAGTGTTAATTTTTTCAGCATTAACTTCTGATTTCTCTTATGAATTGCTTTCTCGGGGTTTCTGGTGTACCAGTGCTCAACAAAGAGTCTCTGTGTGGCAAGAGACTCTATAAGTACCAGGGAAAACTCTCACAAACAGCATTAATGCCTCTATCAAACTTTCTGCGGGGTTTCCATGCTCTCCCATTTAAGTAAAAGAACAGTGCATGTCTCTAAATACATCTCTGTCTTTTAGCAGTAAAATAGTTTTCAAGTGAAGTGGCCTATGGTGCAATCGTTAAGCATCCCCTCAGAGGTGCCAGGAGGAGGGCAGCTGATGAGTTTTAGTCAACTTGAAATGAAGACTGCATCTCTAAGAAGAGTTCAGCTGACCTGAAGTTTGGGCTATGTTTCTTGATCTCTGCAGATTGTCTAGCTACTGGAAGAAGAAAGGGACAGGAGGGAAGAGTAGAGGTTTAAATTGGTCCAGATACGTTGAAGCTTTCACTGGCTCTATGTACAAGAACGTTGTCTGAAGTAAAGGTAGCTGAAGTGATGGAAAAATGTCACTTTGCTTCCTAGCATGCTCAAAGCATGGAAAAGCACATAACATCCACTGAGGATGGACCATCGCATTTGCCTGTTTGCTGACAGCTTTGTAGACAGCTACCTCCTACATTCTTAAATGAAATTAAAAAATTCATAGGATGTTTTCAGAGGGTAAAATATTTGGTCTAGGAAACAACTTTTCCAGCTTTTTGTAGAAAATGTTCTTTGTGCCCAGATTTGTATCTCTAATAGCTAATAAATGGCATACTAATATATTCCAAGGTTCATAGTAGGCTTCTTTATCTTCCCTAATGTGCCTTGTGTTTCACCTTTGTATATAGGTTATTCACAGGGCCCAGGGTTGTGGTGGGTGAGCACTTTCCAGTAGCATCAATGTAATCAAGGCATTGGCAATCATCGCTGTATCCCTGATACTAACCATATTCCTCTCTTTATGTGGCAGGCCTATTAAAACATGGTCTTTGCTAACAACAGAAGAGGACATCCCAGACCTCCTAATTTGGCAGATGAATGAAGAAAAATGCCCCACCTGTTTTTGAAGCTTTGCTCATAGATTGATCTAGGCTGGGGCTGGAGGCAGCCTCACCTGGCCTGTCCTGTTGCCTCAAGGCAGCATCATTTCAGGCAAACGCTTGCCTAAACTGTTTTTAAAAACTTTAAGGTACGGTCCCTGCAGTGTCTCCAGGCAGCCTGTTCCAATGCTCCATTGTCCTTGCTGTTGGGAATCGTCCTGGCCTAGATCTCTGTTGGTACAGTTTAAGGCTGCTATTTCTTGTCTTACCAATTACAGCTATGGAGAACAGATTCTGCTTTCTGTGTGGCTGGAGGCTCCCTCCTTTCTTCTTGCCTCTGACTAATGAACCACAATAATGTGATAGTGGTTACACATGGGATTTAATTTCCCTTGATTGCATTAGCAGATCATTAGCATTCTCTTTCTATGGACTCATTTGTGTGAGCAAGTGTTCAGTGTCCTGCTCCGCTCGTGCTGCCCATTGCTTTCAGGGACTAGCAGTGCCCAGCGCTGCCTGCACACCATCACCTGCCTCATGAAGCATTGCCC